GGAATATAATGAGGACGTGGCTAGCTGTTCCCTCACAGAGGTCGCTTTTGAATGAATTTAACTCGATTCCCGTTTGAGGAGACCTGCCCCGAACACGCTCAATCGTGACATCTGCACACCTATATTCATTCATCTCTGCCCAATAAAGTATGTCCTCATCAAACTCATTTGCTCATTGCGAGGGTGTAAAAGGCTGAGATGGGAGAGGAAAACACCGAGCCTCCTACACGTGAATCTACCATTTTGAAATAAGCCTAATCGCTCAAGAGGGAGGTTTCATAGTTGGTGCACTTCCATTTCAGAAGTGAATAGCAATCCTAAATGAGAAGTTTAAGGGAACAAATAAACGTACCTCGTACTGCCAAATAAAAACACAATGGTCAGTAGTTATTGTTGATAGGTATGGGTTACCGTTAGAGCTTCTCGAGTACGTGCTTCAACAAAGCAGTGCTTGGTAAGGCTGATTTAGAAGGAACGGGTTTGTGTTTGGTGAGTAAATGATGCATTACAGGAGGCCAGGATCACATCCACACTTCCAACCTGCAAGTTATGCAACTTCCAGAAGGATCTTCTAAGGAGGAAGCACTAACGCGTAGTATAGTAGTAAGGAACACTGATATAGTGGGACCTTTAAGAAAGTATCACCACGTGAATCGTATTTGTATATTTCAGTTTTATGTTGAACACAGCTAAAACAAATGGCACATCGTTCCATAAAGTTCGAACGTGTGTGTGTAAACAAGATATTTTACCTTGAACCAGTACGAAAGCATAGGCTTTGTCCAGCCCTCTACTTGGCTACGCCAGAGATTTACACATTTATTATGTATATTCATCAACATGTGTCATGCCATCCCGATTTATGCAGACTAATTTCATCTACCAGATCCGCATGCTCGTGAATTTAGCCTCCAGACAATCACATACTGTGTGAATTAGCAAATGTGACCATTTGATTCGCTTCATGAAGTTACCATCATTGCGAATTGCATTTCATTGTATTCCACTACAATTACAGCGGTGACGTAAGACAACCACATGCTGTGCCATCAAAGAAGTGTGATTTGGAATGAATTGCTATCCATCCGCTCATCTCCTCCTCAGACAGCAAGAGATTGCAATCACTTGACCCATATCATTTCACCAATAAGACGTCTTATGACGATCTGCCCACTTCGGTCAGTATTTGGCTCCCCATCAGTGGTTTAAATTTCTAAATAATGTAGAATTCTTCTTAAGGGCAATTTGTCCAGCTCCACACTAAAATCCGGTGAAGAACCAGACCAAAATATCCAATTCTATGAGTGTGTCACGATTAAACAAGTCAAGTTCAGTGTTTGAATGTGCGAAATAGCACGAAACGCCGTTTGTCTGTTTATGTCACCTTTTGAACTAAGTAGACCCAATGCCTAACCCGTGAGCAAAGCTACGAATTACTGGCCAGAGTAAAAATGCTTTCTATAAACAAACGATACTCGACTTATCTTAGGATGCGTTGACACCAAGTTCACACATGCATTGCCGCGGTAAAATGTGAGAATCAAGCATAAGTGAGTGGAATAGGCAACCGCCCGTACCCGTAAATTGTAGACCTTGTGCGTGCACTCAAATATTTACTGGTTAAAGCCATCAAATTATTCCACTACGAAAAAACCATTCGTGTGCGGAAGAATCTGTGCAAGCTGTGCATAAGGAGCTAAACCAGAGCAAATCTAATGCTTTGCAGCAATTGTGGTTGGCATAGTCATCACCACCCCACTGGTACAGTCGTGTCTTTCCCTATGTAGTTGGTTATACAAGAATCTCGAATTACCTGTTCTGATGGCATTACAGGTGTTTGAGTGAGTCAAGCAAGTAGATCTTACTTGCAGGTATGCATAGTTGTTTATTCTAACCCATGCTGTTCCATTCACCTTGGCCATCATGATCAAGGTAGGCGGATTCCTGACTGTGTTGTCTGCTGTGATCCAAACGCTTAGTGAAAAGACCACAGGAGGATTCCTGGAATCCACCTATCACCTCGAAAGCAAGTGCGCCCACCTGCTTCCAGCATGATGCTAGTGGTAAGCAAGGTTTGGATGAAATCCGATGTCACATCAGGTTTGGCATTGCCGTCTTGCCACTTCCACCCCAACGTTCATTCATTTCTACTCTCTTTTGTTCTCTGATAGAAATGTTTGCAAAGACAGGCTAATTTGGCGGAAAGATGGGCTAGGCGATGTCGGTACGCACACATGGACCCACGACATCATTCAGAATATAGTGATGCTGGACAGAATATCACCGCCTCTGGAGGTTGGAGACCAACAGTTGGATGACTGGTGAATGTGTGGAAGGCAGAGTCGAACTTTTACACTTACTCCAACAACTTCTGCACGCCTTCGAATATCTGAGGACATTACACACAGGTAATCTTTTGACATTTTCCCCAACATCAAACTGCCCTACTTCCAACTTGTCTAACCTTCACCACATTTACTCTTCCACTCTCACCTCTTGGATGATTTAGGCCGACTCATCCAAACTCGGGTGTGCAGTCAATCACTGCGATAGCATGCTTCCAGCTTGGTGTCCACCAGTGCATTATTTGGTGAGTCAGCACTCTCCTGCGTGAGTCCAGTCACACATTCTCCACGATTGTGCTCACTGGTACACATATGTGACATTTGCCTACGCAATTCAAAGTTTCCAATATTCCACAATAAGGACATTTGATTTGCCTTGCAATTAGAGGCAATTTTAAAGGGCGTCATCCCTACACGGAAGGAAGACCCTGCACCATATGCCCAACTGGTTACGACTGCATTCACAATCAAGGCTGGGGCGACCACCATGTTGAGCATTTGCCAACAATTAAGCGCCTCTGCCGCATTTTGCGTGTAATGGTATTGTCGATTTCCATCTGGGAGTCAAATGTGCTTTCGGCGATTTTGAGTAAACAACGGAATAATTGCCTTAATCAAGTGCCAAACAGCCTAATGGCAGTACATTGGCAAAGAAATGACACAAATATCCCACCATTGCATTTGAGTTATATGGTCGTTGCCCGTTGTCTTTATTAGATTAAAGGATGCAAAAGTGTCGGTAACTCCCCAAAATGTCATTATTTGGCATATCCATATGGGTATCAACAAAACGCGAATTGTACGTGCGTGCGGATCCACAGGTGCCCGAATATTCGGTGACTGGCGCGATTGGCTGGTGGTTGTTTTTTTGCAGATCCGGATACGTTGTGATGGCTGACGTGAATGGATAATCAGTGAAAGAGCCTAGAATGACGCCGGAAGAGGATGGAAGCTCTGCAAGACTTCGAGAGTTCGTTAAACTCTTCATCTGACTACGTGAAAACTTACGTCTTTGCGGGGTAGTACTTCACTTGGCAACACAGCCTCGGGACCATACTGGCAACCTCACTTCGTCTGTACAGCAAAATATAACATCTGCCATACTACTGTAGATTCCGACGATACGAGGGAAGACTGGAGATGTCATAAATGTATATCTCTCTGTGTTTACGGACAGCATTCAAATCTTCCACGAAATCACACTAGTGGATTTTAGTGCATCATAAAAGAAATCCATGGAAATGATAATTACCGTAGTTCACAACAGTGACTGATGGAATGCTTCATTTAATGCTGTTATGGCTTACAAGTCGATGCCATGGAGTTGTGTCCATGTCACAACTGCTGACGCCGTCAACGCCTTTGTCGCCTTGTTGTAGTCCCTCAAGAGAGACTGCTGCTAATCCCGGTGGACAACAATCCAAACAGACAGAGATCACTTTAGCCCAAAATTGAAACAAAGCTCTCCATCAATTCTGCTTGATGATTGTTGCAAACTATATTTGGTAGAGGGCAGTAAAGAGTAGAGGCGAGTGTTG